CCGGGGTACGTTTCAAGAATATTTCCTCAAACTTGAATAAGTCATTAAATATTCACAAAGAGACTGTATCGTATCGCACACTAATTGTGCCAATAAAAGTCAATCAACTTCCAAGTTATCGTACCTCGCAATTATCTTTGAATGAATATTAAAAAAGCCAATAATTGAAGAAACTTCGTGTAAGCTTCTTTGGTATACGAAGTCCGATAAAGAAGTTCGCTACTACAACCCTTCTGTCCACTGCAACGTGCAACGATTAACCAAGTTATTAACCGAACGGTAGGCCTGTTTTTCAGATCTTCCATACTGTAAACAAGATAATTTTTTTTTTTTAATTTTGCCAAACCTCTCAGAAAAATTGTCGCTGAAATAAACTTGTCAATATGAACTTCCTTTTTGATGACTCCAGTACGTAGAACGAACAAAATCTTTTATTACAGCCTCTCAGCCTGTGCCGGGAACAAGGTAAGGGATGTGCACACTTTCCTGTTCATGGCGGGTATCGCCATTATTTACACCCTAACTGTCTCATGCGAGTGCTACCTGTGCTACCCATTCTTGATAACAGCTGCTTTCTGTTAGCTTCCTGTAACCGTTTATAGGTTTGTAACCACAATTATTTTTTTACGTCGATCAGTTTCCCGTTAAAGGATAGGGACTTTGAAGCAAACGAAACATATATTTTTCAAAACGTGTGGTGAACATCCTTTGATGTTTTGTTCCATTGCATATGTTTGGGTTGTTACTTGGTATTTTCTTACTTATCCTTTGTTTAATTTTTAAACGCTCAACGATCTAGTATTATTCAAAACCTAAAAAGAAATTTCTAGTTACAAAAGAACACACAAAATAAAAACTGTAGGGTCTTAAAACCTCTTTCTGCAAGGTATGGCGATTAAAACCGGCTGTACATTGTATGTTCTTAAGATCTTCTCTTTTGCAAGGTATGGCGAATTCAAGCTTCTCTTTAAAAGAAAGACAAAATTCAGCGAGGTTTAACTGTGCGGCGGTGACAATTAGCAAGATGACTTCGCGATCATACGAGGACAGGAATTGTTTTAAAGGCTTATCGTTGTTTTTTTCTCACAACAACTTAGCGCTTACCTTTCCATCAAATACTGAGCTGCTTGGTTGTGTTGAAGGATATCTGAAAATTTTTTGCTCAAGTTTGCAACGGATTCATTCCCTGGACTGACGTCAAGGGTTTCTTTGTTCAACGTAAACGTTTTGAATAAGGATAAACTTTCAGTGAAACGGTTCAAATCAAGTTTCGTATGTACTCCCAGTAAATGGTGTCCTTTCCTTAATTTCTCACCCTTTTAATAGCAGAGTGAACGTGATGCTTGAGTTAATATTCTAAACAGTTCTGACAGTTGCAGCCTTAATAGTCTATTAATTAGCCCCATATTTTTTTGAGTTAAGTTTAACCTCATGATTAAGCGGCCAGTAATGAAAGTCCCAAAATAATTGAAGAATTATGTTCACAAGGCGCGTCGGACGATTTTTCCACCAGTTGAAATTTACACGTTTGGCTTTTCTTTTTACACGAAACTACCTTAACCGTACATAGAAATCAGACAGCTGGCAATTCAAAGTCCCGTATGAACGAAGTGTCCGGTCCAATTTTTCAGCCGGTCGAAAATTCGTCCGGTAGAATGTGGCCTCGATCCTCTGCAGGTATCACTCTCCTGTATTAATGGGGAGAGAAAGGGGAGTAGCAATCCCTCACTTTCTTTTCTTCTTTTCTCGTTCGCAGACTCCTCACGGTCAGTGTAACCAAGCAAACCTAAAGTACATAGGGTGGGTTTCCGCTGACGCGTAAAATTGAGTTAAGTAAACACGTATATTTTACGCGCGTAAATAAAAAAGAGGCAATGTATTGAAGGTCGCGGGTAAATGTAAAAGTTAATTAAAGTAAACTAAAAGCGTCGCCTCTTTCATCGGGAGAAATGGCTATTCTTCTTGCGACATTTAATTACAGTCGGTGAAAGCTTCTTGGTCTGTAATATCGCTTATTGTTATTCTAAAATGCTGAACAGGAGTCTTTGTCACGCGCGGCAGTACTCTTCATCGTGGAGTAGGTGGTTTACTAACAATAGCCAAATCTGTCTTTTGTTTTCCCTTTTGTGAGGCCAGATCACACTTTTACGCATTCTAAGTGCTCCTTAACTAACTGTTAAGAGTTTTAGAGCGCTATTTTACGGATCCGGTCCGGGTCAGCGAACAGATAACTGACTTAAAGATGTGTTGAAAATTGTAGTTTCGATTCCTGGCATGAGAGTTTTGACGGAGCTCTGACTGATTACTCTATGAGTAAGACGGCACGTAAATTTTACGTGCGTTCGCAAGTAGATTGAAGTTACGTGGTAGCGGAAAGCAATCCTAAAGGTTTTTCAACTGTTCCTGCATTTTAGCTTACTGTGAATTTTTAACCTTTAATTTGACATGTATTATCATATGAACTCGTGTACTGAGTATACCTTTTTATGAAACTTTCAAACTTTATTTAAATACGAAAAAGACTCAAATATTATTCGGAATAATTGCTGGTTCCTTTTTTCTTTTGTTCTAGTAAAAGCAAATAAAAATTATTAACTGCTCTTTATTTAACAAATACTGAGAAGTCTTGACTGTGCTCTCTTCTGTTGTAACAAGCCACGCGATCAATGTTCCCTTTTTAAGCGACACAACGACTAATTTATCCAGACTACAATTGTTATGAAATGAACGTGTATAATGAGAATAGTCTTATGCAACTCGCAAACTTCATTTAAATAGTAACAAAACCCACATATTATTTAAAATAATTGCAGCTTCCTTCTAGCTATTTTTCGTTCTAGCAAAAACAAACTTAAATCATTAACAGCAAACTGCTTTTTAATTAACAAATAAGGCGTCCCTTGACTGTGCTCTGTTCTGTTGTAACTGAATCACGCCGAAAGCGGCTAGAGTAGTACTACGAAAGAAGTGTAGGGGGTAAACACGAGACGTAGTCGAAAAGAGCTCAGTCAAGGCTTCGTTATATATTTGTTTCATGATAAAGAATCCCTTAAATTCCCCACGCATTGCTTTCTAATTTTCAAAACAAACTATTGGCAGATGAAGTGACAGCTTTAGCTCCATTTTTTATACTCTCAGAGCTGTCATAAAGCACTCTTTTTCAACCAATCAGAGAGCGCGTTATAGCTGGACTAAGTTCTAATTGTTTATTGATAAAAAGAAAGTTACAGTAACTGTAGAAGCACAGGTGGTGTCAGTGAAACGGAACATTGGCAAGGCTACTGTGGCTTTCAATAACACGCCAAGATCAAAAGCCATCTACTGTTTGCGTCTTTTGCTGTCGTCAATCAAATCAGTTAGCAAGAGAGATCAAGAAAAGTTTACTTCCATGAATTAAAATCGAAAAGGCCATGGTTTGT